TTCATGTGGCCATGGAAATGATGCCATATTTCCCAAATGAATGAGCCATCACGTTTCATTAGGCCCACTATTAGATCCCACTGGCCAAGCTGCATGCACATCTTTTTTTCGACAATGTTTTTCCAAATCTTTCGGCATTATACGAGAAAGAAAATACAAACCCATGAAGATATAAGTTATAACCAACCCATAAACGACACTGAAAAATTCACAAAAAGTAGAACTAGTTTCTTAAAAAGAGGTAAACATAAAACATTTACTCTTTTATTACAAGGAAGACAAAATTTCACACGTAATTATATAATTTGAGATTTGTCTAGACCACTTAACGTAGAAAAGTCTACAAATTCCTCCTACTAATGGTATAAAACTGTTTTGAGATACGTCCGTGGCAGACGTACTTTGATAGAAATTTTTATTGTCTTTGCAATTTTTTAGAGAAAATATAAAGTGTTTGCTCAGGTTCTTGATATTTTTGGGTTATTAAGAAGATGGATTTTAAGGGAAAAAATGATGGATTCTGAAACTTAAAAATATGTTTTTAATAAATCGAGAGAGTTCTAGAACTTTCTTCTCATTTATAACCGTTGATAAATAACGTTTAAAACGTAAATCACTCTTTACAGTAAAACCTCTATAAATTAATAATGTTGGGACAATGATATTTTATTAATTTATAGCGTAAATTAATATTTATTAATTTATAGAAAGTTTTGTTTCAATTGTGAAAACTTTTTTTAAAAAATACAAGTTAAAGCAATGTGATCTAAATAAAATTTTATGTTTTAGATGTTATAAATTTTATAGTTTTAGCCTTAAACACTTAATATTTTGAAGATAAAAAATAATTTATTTTGACAACGAATAACAACGATTATAGAATTCACATATACAAACGATATACATTAATTAAAATTCACAAATAGTGACATCCATTGTTGTATTTTAAAAACCTATACGACTACAATTAAAACAAAAATTATGCATATTTAAAATTTGAAAACTTAGAAAAACTTTTGGCTATTTTTATGAAAACACTAAAACTATTATATATATATATATATGCAAATTTACATGATTATTAATTTATGATATTATTGGGACTATATTTTTACATAGGGATTTCAAAAAACTTATTATCTTATTATCTTATCGAATTTGGTTAATTTTTACACTGGCCCGACTCGGGACCGGCCAAATTTATTAATTTATCGTGTTTATTAATTTATCAAATATTAATTTATAGAGGTTCTACTTTATATTGCGTTGTTATTCATTCTCAAAAGCACCATCACCCACTTGGTAAATTGCAAATGATATTCTCTCGAAAAGAGGTTTCGTACAAGTGTACTAATATATGCAAAAATAAAAGGACCCACGAAAATATGCAACTTGAATTTGGATAGATTCTTATCCAAAACTGAAAAGTTTAGTACATTTCTCTAATCTAACTTCACTTAGAAATATGCAACTTGAATTTGGATAGATTCTCCTATGAAAAAATGCAAATGGGAATATTATTAAATGGACCCATGAAATGAAGTTACGTTACAAAAACAACAACGACTCTTACTATTTATTATTTGTATATTCTTGCGACGCAGATCAAAATTTATATTGACTAAAATACCCATTGCCACGTCAGTCTGACTTGGATTTGACCCAAAAAGCGTTGGAAAATTTATTATTAAAATCCAATAAGGCATAAACAAATACATATTACATGTAGTTTTGGTTATAGATTTACAACTATTACCTTAAGCTCCCCATAGTCTTCTGTTTTCATCAATTATACCATCATTTATTTTTATAAATATAAACCCCTAATCGTCCGCTTTCAAACGTGGAATGTAGATGAATTTATATACACATTTTAGTTAACGATTAGGCAGTGAAGTTTCTGAAGGAGACTGCATTTATCAGTGCCGGTCCGAGCATTTGTGAGGCCCTACACGAAAAATAAAATGAGGCCCAATATATTTATAAGTTTTAGGGCTAAAATTTTTTTTTTACCTATTTTTAGTAAATTATACAAAAATAATGATATTTTGAATATTATTACATTCAAATTTAATTGTTTGGGCCCTATTTTATTTATTTTTTTCGAAAAAGACTTTAGTTTCTACCAAATATTTTCATTTTATGGGCCTTTTTACCAAAAAAAAAAAAAAAAAAACCTTAAAAAAAAAAAAAAAATTGTGGTGCCCCAAGCCACCGCTTGGGTGGCCTGTCCTGCGGGCCGGCCCTGGCATTTATGATAATCTTCTTATGATCACATCCTATGGAGACATGTGATCACTTATTTTTCGTATACCCTTATTCTACTATGGTGTGGGAAAAACTACTGAGAGAAATTCTATTAGACAAATTCTCGCAAAACTAGCCAACAAAGATTTAGATAAGGTACAAAGGTTTTTTATTGTTATACTTTCCAGATCACGATACTCTATTTGGAGAGAAAGGAACAACCGGAGATACGAAGAACAGCTTTCAACGACGGAGAAGCTTATTAAACTAATCGACAAGAATGTTCGTAATCGATGAGCACGATTACAAGAGGAGGGGACTTTAAATTCGTTGGTGGCATCCAAACATGGTTTGCAACAAGACAATGATAAAGGATAGAGACTCTTGTTAAAAATTATAAAAGTTTTGAATTAAAATGTAGCAATGTTTATTTTTTCTTTGAATATAATTTAACATTAAATTCAAAAAAAAAACATGCCACTAATAAAATTATTTATAGTATTTCATATTAATTAATCCAAACAAAAGAAACAAAACAAAATCATTCATCTTCCAAACTCTTGGACAAAATTTGTCTAAAAAGTGCATGAATTTTTTTTTAGTAATAATTGACGATGTTGCATGATTTTTTATTTTACTCAAGTCACACAGTCATATTATTATGTATCTCGCAAAATCTATACCTAGAACTATACATGGATGCTTGGATCAATATGATTGGTTCAAATTAAAAAATTTGGTCCTTCAAATTTTTGAGTTGGGCAAAATTCTAAAGATACAAAATTTTGGTTAGGTTTGGTTTGATAATCAGCTAGTTTAGTTTGAAAAATTTCTGCTAAATTAAACAAAACTTTTTGTTATTGGATTCAATTTTTTAGACCGTAACTAATTTATTCAGATAGGTCAAATTTAAAAATAAAATACAAGTCCAAAAATTACAAATTCACTTAAAGAAAGAAAATATTTTTGATTCTGATATAGAGTACTGACATATATAGTGGACATGATGGCATTTATAAAATAAAGATGATGGAGACCAAAATGTTGTGACGACAGTAAGTCGATATTGTGATAGAGAGATCCAAACAAAAAGGTTTGGTTAAGTCCATGAACAAAACTACGGATAGACGATGCAACTTTGCTGGATTGTTTTCGAGTAAAAAAACTGAAAGAAAAAGAAAAAAATATATAACAAGAAAGTAACTTATGAAACTGGAGAAATAAAAAAATTTCAATAAAACGATTGACTTGCTTTTGTTTAATTGAATGGAACCAAAAAGCAAAGTAGTTATCAAAAGTTGCCGACTCGTTTTCATCTACAAACTGAAACTAAACCGAATTGATAGGTTCGGAAATTTTGGTTTGAAAGCTGTTTTCCAAAACTAATTAGAGCTGCCTTGAGGTAGCGTTTGTGTTTACGTTGTTTCTGATTGGTAACTTTTTACCATTTTGGTAAGTGGTTATTACATTAAAAGTTATCAATCTTAGTAAAAACTAGCAGAACTATCTAGCCACATTGCCAAAAGTTGTTAAGATTATCTCACAATAGCTTTACGCACATTTGGACCTTTATTCTACTTTCACAAAAGGTCCATCATCGACGTCCTCTGTTTGATTATATATATCTAGTGCATTACCGTTTTTTCATTGATCTGGTAGGAAATAATCACTTCGTTGTGGATAAGGCATGAATGATTGAAGATTTGGAAACAAAGTTTTTGAATAAAAATATCTGTTTTATTGTTGTTTGATATTTTGATTTTTTTTTTCCACTTTCTACATCTTACTAGATTTTACCCTGCGGTACACCGCAGGTCGATTTTTTAACTAAAAAATTAAATTTTAAATTGTATTTTTAATATTATTTATTTTGTTAAGTGTTTAAGATTGTATAATTGTATTTTGATTGTTAATTTTAAGATTTCATCCGTAATATTAATACCGTCCCGTATTAATATCGATCCAAACCTGTCCCACTATATAACCCCGTCCCGTGAAATTAAACATCATTTTGTTATTTTTAATAATATTTTATTTAATAGATATATAATTCGAGTCAATTTAAAAGTTTGATTATATATATATATATATTTTTAAATTTTATTTAATAATAATTAATTCTATATAATGATCTCTGAATTAATTGCGTATGACCGACGGTCAAGATTGAATATTAAAAACCGGATTAAGATTTGAATAGCCACGATTAAATGTAGGGATTGTTGAGATCTTTTAATGAAATCGAATTGAATATGGATGTAATTGTGGCAAGGATTAGTTATGCTTAATAAATTAGGTTAAGATTTTTGGAAATGATTTTTTATGTTAATATCTTTGATTTAATTTTGAAAATCTAAATAATTAATGTCAATGGTCTTTGATTGTAAATAAGTTGGAACTCCAGGATTTATTTCATAAATGTCTCCAAAAATGTATATATAGATATATGAACTAAAAGTTGTTATAAGAAAAAAAAAACTAGCAATAAAAATGATATTTTCAGATTTTTTTCTTACCATTAGTTTTTAAAAATTTAATTATATTGTTATCTGTTTGTATCGCGAACCTGTCGGCTTGAAGTTTTTTTTTTTTTTGTCAGCTAACATAATAAATCAAAAGTTTTGGTGTAAATAGAAAGATACTATTCTTGTCGGGGCCATTGGGGTAATAATCAGACAATTAAATATCTTACAAAAAAACAAAACAAAAATTGAAAAGAACATATTATTAAAATGCAAAGACTGGCCAATCGGATAAGAAGAAACTGTAAGAAGAATTTGAAGCAACAAAAAAAAAAAAAAAAACTAACTAAAGAAACAAAATGGAAAAAGTTTTCTCCGACGAAGAAATCTCCGGTAACCATCATTGGTCGGTTAATGGAACGACGGCGATGAATCGTAGTGCCTCCGAATGGGCATTCCAACGTTTCATACAAGAATCTTCCGCCGCCACGGACGACGGAGAATCTACGACGGCGTGTGGTGTTTCCGTCTCTTCTCCTCCGAATGTTCCTGTTGATTCAGATGAATACAGAGCATTTCTGAAGAGTAAACTTAATCTTGCTTGTGCTGCTGTCGCCATGAAAAGGGTACAAAACTCTCTCCTCAAGCTTCATTTTTAGTATCTTCAGAGTCTCTAGAGAACTCGCTTGAGCATCAAAATCAAACCTTTGTAACTGTAGAATCGATTCACATGGTTGGGATTAAGTTGATGCGTTTATCGAAACTGAGAGAACTAAGATCTTTGGGATATGATTTGAGTTTGTGAACCTTATGTTTCCTTAAGATTACACTTTTCATTAGTTGCTTAGTGAATTGATTTGTGGTGTTAATATTGAAACTTGATAGGGATGTTTCATCAAACCTCAGGATACTTCTGGTAGATCTGACAATGGTGGAGCCACTGCATCAGAACAAGGCTCTCTAGCTTCTTCTAAAGGTTTTACAATGCTCTCATGTTTTGTGCTTTGATGGATTGTAGAAGCAATGACGTGCTTTTAAGATGTTCTTGATAGTTGTTGTGTTTGTTTTCAAGATTTCTTGTAAATGCTTTTTTACAAATCCCAAATTCTGCGGTCATGCTAATGGACCAATCTGTATGCAGCTACACCAATGATGAGCAGTGCGATAACAAGTGGATCTGAGCTCTCTGGTGATGAAGAAGAAGCTGATGGTGAAACTAATATGAACCCTACTAATGTTAAACGCGTGAAAAGGTAGTAAATTTACATCCTTTCTTGGATTTAAATATCCTCTCACTAGACAATATCTTGACTTGAACATGAACATGAACATTTGTTTGTTATAGGATGCTCTCTAACAGAGAATCAGCTAGACGGTCCAGAAGAAGAAAGCAAGCACACTTGAGTGAGCTAGAGACACAAGTATGTTAATCTCGCCGCATTCTTATTCTTTCTCCTTAACTTTTTGTAGCTCTATTGTGACAATCTCCATTTTGTTTAGGTTTCACAGCTGCGTGTAGAGAATTCAAAGCTCATGAAGGGTCTCACTGATGTAACTCAGACATTCAATGAGGCATCTGTAGAAAACAGAGTTTTGAAAGCCAATATCGAGACTTTACGAGCAAAGGTAAAATCCATATTTTCTCTCGGTCTACTCAAACTCGCTTAACACGGTGTATAAGACTGTTTGTTTTGGCAGGTGAAAATGGCTGAAGAGACTGTGAAGAGACTCACTGGCTTTAACCCAATGTTCCACACTATGCCTCAGATTGTTTCAACTGTCTCTCTTCCTTCAGAGACTTCAAATTCTCTAGACACCACAAGCAGCCAAGTTACCGCGCCAGAGATCATCAGCTCGGGGAACAAAAGCAAGGCCTTGATTGGGTGCAAGATGAACAGAACAGCTTCGATGCGGAGAGTTGAGAGCTTGGAACATCTGCAGAAACGTATTCGAAGCGTTGGGGATCAGTAGCTGCTAAAGAAGAATCTTGATTTGTAACATTATCAAGAGAGATGTTAAGACAAATGTTGTATGTTTTTGTAAAGAACTGTTTTCAGATTATTTAACTTTTTTTTTGTCTTTGTCTTAACCCATTTCTTCGTTTGATTGTTTGTGTTGAACTTCTAATTCTCATTCATCTCCTACGCTTGCAAGTTTTTACTTTGTATACATATCTGTAAAATTTACAAAGTTTTTCTATTAATTTCTGTTAAGAAGTACATGCTTTATATATTTTACCTAGTGAATCTATTGAAATGATGCTGTGGCAACAATTATTTTTTCTTGTCATCTAGTTTTACTGATAATACCATGAAATGACTTGTGATACAACCTAAAGCCGCCGAAAAACAAGATTTTCCCGGAGTCTAAAGCCCTATGAAAAAGGCATAACTTATACTAAAAGGTAAGAAGGAATGAAGCAATAGTCATAGGGAACAAAAACTAAAAAACGCAGAAAACATTTATTCCCTCCATGATGGACAAAACAAACCAAAACTACAAGTCACCTAGTTCTTGAAGATCCTTTGAGAGAGAAGTATCGGAGATGCCCACGGCCAACCAACGATACCCAAGTCCTCCTATTGAGATGAACCACTGCATTCAAAGATCAAAATTCCTAAACTTCATAACCCATCAAGATAGAACTAATCATAATTCCCCAAACTTTCTTCCGGATGCGGGGATGTTAGAGACAAGGTGACAAGAAACGCCCTAGATAGAAGCTTCATGAAAGATCAGACCTCCATCAGGTCTATATTGTAGAGACAAGGAGCGAACGATGTAGCCTGAATAACACCAATCTCACAAGACCTACATCAGGTCTATATTGTAGAGAAATGTTGTGGCAACAATTAAAACGTATAATTTTTGTTATTGAAATTAGAAATTATGAGTTCAATCCTAATTTCGGTTTGGTAATGGTGTAGATTTTACGAATTTTCGGATAGTTTGGTATAATTTTGGTTTTAAGTCAAAATTATTGTTATGTTTGGATATTTGTTCGAATTTTGGGTTTACAAATGATAGTATCCAAAGTAAAACTTAATTTAATATGAAGGTTTGGTTTGGATTAAGGATTTTTTCAATGATGTCTTAATTTTTCTTTATAAAATCTGGTTCAAACAATATTTTTGTTCAAATTCGGATTCGATATATATATATAAAGAATTAATTCAAATCAGATCAGAATTAATGTTAAATGAAAAAAATACTAATTACTTAGATCACAAAAGCCAAAAATACATGAAAATTATTTTTATTAAATTACTGTATCTCATAATTCAATTCAGAAATTTTCATGTATTATAAGAGGTTTGTAAGTACAAATTTTTTATATAGTAGCTAAAACAACTATTATTTTATTTAGATGGGAATCTAGATTATATTGGATAAATAAAACCTTTATGAAAAACAAAAAAAACACAGATAACATTTAGAACCAGAAGAAGAAAAAAACAAGTAGCAGCAATGGCGACATCTGTTGCGACTCTATCTTCTCCTCCACCAGTATCTCTACCTCTCCTCTCATCATCTCGCTCTTCCTTCTTCTCCAATTGCTTCACAGTCACGACCCGACCAAACAACCGTTCTTTGGTTGCGATTCGACCGAGAATCCGACAGGAACCGACGAGAAAGCGACTCACTTGTAATGCTTTGTTTGGTCTTGGTGTACCTGAGCTTGCTGTGATTGCTGGCGTCGCTGCGTTGCTCTTTGGACCTAAGAAGCTTCCTGAGATTGGCAAGAGTATTGGCAAAACCGTCAAGAGCTTTCAACAGGTTTGCTAAATAGAATTTGGTTTTGAAAAAAAGTTGGGAACTTTATGCAATTCTTGAGTTTGTTATGGTAATTATTGTGAAATATGTGTGTTTTGGGGGATTTTATGGTACAAGTGCTTTGTTAGTGTATGAGTTGTGTCTGGACTCTGGATTTGTGAGGAATTGATAAGAAGATTCAGAAATTTGTGCAATTCTGGAGGTTCTTGTGAAAAATCTTGTTGTTGGAATTTATGATTAGAAGGTCTTAAGAGACCTTTCTGTTTCAAATGCTTAGTTCTGTCTGGATTTGTGTGGTATATATAACTTTGCTATATAGAACATTCATCTGCTTGTAAACTTTGCTGTATAGGATCAAAACATATTGATTGAAAACATATTGCTGTGAATTTACTTTTTTGAAAATTTTAGTTTAGTTATGTAGTTTGATGGTTCTTCACTTGAATCAATTGAAAAAGGGGAATTTTTTATGTAATTCTCGAGTTTCTTGTGCCAATCCGTGTGAATAGCTTGTTGATTGTTGTTGGTATTAAATGAATGTGTTTTGGGGAATTTTCTGTTTCAATTGCTTAGTTGTTGTGGATTTTTGAGGAACTGATAAGAACACTCATAAAGATTGGTAAATGAATGGGTATAGCTTTGCTATATCGAGTATGATCAAGAATGAAACATTTCATTTGCTTGTAACAGTAAGTTAATTCATGAAATGTCGATCAAGCTTGTTGTTATGTGAGATCAAGAATAAAACTTTGCTATATAGCATAGATCAAGCATGTTGTTATGTTAGGTTAATCTAGCAATGTAATCTCTATTCACAAACCGATCACAGGGCTAGCTCGTGATTTAATTATTGGAGTGATATTAGCTTCTTATTTTTTTTTGATAAAACGTCTGGTTATTGTTATGGCTCTGATGTTTGTCTGTGTTCCTTCTATCGTTTTTACTTGCATTGATGAAGCCTTATGTGGTTTGGTATAATGCAGGCTGCAAAAGAGTTTGAGTCTGAGCTTAAGACAGAACCCGAAGATTCTGTTGCAGACTCATCTCAGGTGGCAATGATTAACAAAGAAGAGGAGAAAAAAACTGAGGTTTCTTCAAGCTCAAAGGAGAATGTATGAAGATGAGACTTTATTGTTTACTTTTTCCTGTAGCTACAACAAATTTTATGTGATGATGAGTTTAGATCAAATACTCTTTTTGGAAGAAACAAATAGCCTTCCAATGAAAAGTATAATCAATTTGTGTTTGATGAATCTATAAAGCTCTCTCGAGCGAAAAGAAAAGAACTTGCAGAAACTATGAGACTGCACAATCATAATTCACGATGTAATTCTAGTCTTACCAAGGAATTACAGACGACTCAGCCAACAAAGTGTCGAAATTAAGACAAAACAGAATACAAAATTCCTCTCTAAGTTCATGTTTCTGGATTTTACAATTAAGTTTTAGTTCCAGAATCACTGAAGCACAAGACTAATTGTCTATGACTCGCTTGTTTCACTGATTAAGCTTCTGTCTTTTGATCCTCTCAAGTGCACCCAGTTTCTTGGCTGCACCATCTTCTCCAGCTTCTTCATCGTTTTCGTCTCTCTTTCTAGCAAGTCCTCCAAAAACAGCAGCAGGGACTTCTTTCTGAGAGATCTCCACTTGGTCATCTCCATCAGACTCATCATCACTTTCATCGGGAAGCTCGATGTCTTCTCCATTCCCTGTCACTGGTTTCCCCTCATTCTCACCAGACTGTGAGATGACTCCTGCACTCACAAACCCAACTCTTCTTACGCCATCTTTTGCAGCATCTGTGGTGGTAGTTGTTGTAGTAGTCAAAAGCTGCCTCTCCAGAGCCGCCATTTCGTCTTCAGGTAAACCGGCTTTCTTCAGCTCGTCTTTTGCATCTTCCACATCTAGCAGCTTGTCCTTTTGCATCATGTTCTCTGGTAGAATGAAATGAGTCTGAAACAAAACGATCAAATCTAATCAGTTTCCAACTCCAAATCAATAACTACACTAAATGGATTCTCAGAATTGACAAAAAGAGTTGCTTCTTTGAATGCTAAAAATAGTGGAGACTGATGCAAAAACACCCGAAAGTATCATGCGTTACCCAGGGATCAAAGAGACTAACCTGACTGTAGCTTGCGGAAACACTTCGCTTGATACGGAGCATTTCTCTGTAGGTATCTTCATTCCCATGTTGGACCTCAAACTCATGCCACTTGTTCCAGAACTCAGGGTCGGACCTCGGATCTGCAAACTGAGAGGCATACTTGTAGAGTGCACGAGCACGATCAATTTCTCCCAAGCTTCTCTCAAGCTCTGCGAATTTTATGCACATGATCTTCACATCCTTGTGTGGAAGCCCAGATTCTATTGCTTGCTCATAAATCTCCCTTGTTCTGGGAACACCAAATATCTCTGCCGCTCGCGAAATGTATATCTCGTACATCTCAAGCTTCTGACCTTCTGGAACTTTTTTGGTTGCTTCCTCATAAACCTTCATGGCTCGCTTGGCCAAACCATAATCCTCTTCTAGCTTAGCATACTGAAGGTATAACGTCCTGACAGCATCAGATGGAGCCTGCAAGAGAGATAAAAGACAAGTTAGATCACGTACAATATCATCACATCGATAGACAAGTTTTCTGAGCAACTGGTCAATTAAAAGCAGTTAACGTAGGTTCTTGTTTGATCAGAACTGTGATCAGACAACACAAGAACAGTAATCAGTATGGGTAAAAGGATAGATGAGCATACCATTGAAACAGCATGCTCAAACAACTCTCTTGCCCGCTCCAGCTTTGTCTTCCCATATCTCTTGACAAACTTTGTAAGATAGGTTACCCAGATGTCTTTCACATGAGGATACTTGAATATCTTGACACCTCTTTCATATACCTTGAACGCATCTTCAAAGTACTTATTTTCCTCAAGAAGGAAAGCATAATTCAATATAATCTGCGGTGTAGCTATTCTCAAATCCAATATTTTCTCATAGACAGCTCTTGTCGATTCTAACGTCCCCAGACTTTCTTCCAGATCAACATAAAAGGACCAAAGCCTCAAGGATCTATGCAGCTTCATCTGGACTGGTTCATTGCCATCAGCAGCAACTCTCCGTCTGACTTCTACTGTTGGTACAGCTGTAGCACGCCTCATCAGCTCTAGTGCTCCTTTGAAATTCTTGTGTCTCAATTCCATCTCAGCCCACTCACACCACACACTGGCGAGATGATCTACGGTTTTGTAGTTTACCTGAACTGCCTTGTCAAGAATCACTCTTGTATTGACCAGGTCTTTGTGATTTTCATACAACTTTGCAAAAGCAACCCACAATGTGTGAGGCTTCCCAACTGCTTTCATAGGATCAACAGTCCTCACTGCTTCTGTGTATGTGAGAATCTGCTTCGCTGCATTTCCTTCGAATATTTTGACTCTACGATGCCATTGCTCAACATTGTGTGGATTTTGCCTCAGGAGCACACTGTTTGCTAGTGCAGGTCTTCTGTTCATCAGTTCCTCCAAGCGAGCCAATCTCAGATCAACATCATTGTCATCATTCAGCCAAAACCCATTCAGTATCTTCCTCTGCAGCTCTTTCACCGACAGATTAAAGTTGAGGCGAACATCCTCATCTTCATCCTCTACGCCATTCTCTACATTCTCATCTTCTTCATCACTTGAACTCATCATCTCCATCTTTTTAGCGACAGTGCTTTCCTCAAACCGTGAATAAACGTCAAATATCACACTAAAATCTCTCACCGTAACAACTTTCATCATACCCTCCTCATAGATATCCCTAGCTTTCTCCAGCAAATTCTTCCTAATGTAATAATCCGCAAGAGAAGTCCACAACATTCCCACTTCATCCGTAAACTTCCTAATACCTCCTCTGATGATAGCATCAACATTAAGACCCGAAATCACATTAGCATGATGCACAAGAAGCTCACACAACTCCATCCACAGCTTATGCTTCGTCTTCCCTTTAATCGAATAAAACTTATCATCATTCAACACAGAAGCTAATCTCTCTGCAGATTCCTGCCAACGCTCTGACTTCACAAGAAACTCAATAAACTCCTCAATATGACTAGGATCATACATAAGATACCTCCTATAAACCCTAAGAGAAGTCTCAATAGGAATCCCATCTTGACTCACAAACACAAGATACGGTTCCCAAATCCTATCATGTTGAGTAACAGGCAAAGCACAAAGCGCACGGTCGAAAGTTCTCCGAGTCCGAGTAATCAATTGCTGAACCGTAAGAGTCTGAAGATACATAACCCAAATCCTAGGCATCTTATGCATAGTAACCAAAGCTCTTTCAAAAGTATTATCGAGAGAATCATACTGAGGATGAGTAACTGGCAAATTCCTAACGATATCGAGTCGTTCTCTAAGATAAGCGTACCACAATTTATAGCTTCCAGGAAGTGCTTTAAGAGCTCTCTCGTAGATGATGAATCTCTTCTTAAATGGCGATTCCGCTTTCGCTATCAAATACCTCCACCATAGCTTTAAGCTGAATGGGTTCCGCAATAACTCTTCCTCGTAGAGCAGATCCTCCTGAGAAGGGTATAGATCTTTGGAAATCGCCATATCCTTTAGATCTGCAATAGAAAAACGAAAACGAGTAGGGATTTGAGAGCTTGTTTAACGAATCTACAAGGAATTGAGAAAGCTTTTATTAGACTGAGAAGATTTACCTGCGAGACTGTGCGGAACTAATCGCCGGCGATATGGTGAAGATCGGCAAAAACGACGGTGAAGTGTTTTTTTTTTCTCCGGCGTGAAGGTTTTTTTAGGGTTGGGGAAAGGAGAAGACGATAGTGATTTGATTTTTGCTAAAGTGTTGTTATAAGTTTATATGTACTGTAGTATTACGAAATTACCCCCTCTCTGATCCATTCATAAATTAGTAATAGGATTTGATTTTCGAGAAAATTTCATTTTCTTATAAACGTAAATTATAAGAAATCCAAGCTCTACTTCTATTTTATTTTTTACTTTATAATTTTACTTTATGAAGTTTTTTTTGTACATGTGAAATCAAAAATTATCGTTAATTTTTCCAAAAACGAATCAATGGATGAAGAAATAGCCATTGTTAAGAGAACAAGTGGCGTTGTAGAAGGAGCCAAAATTGTGACTCTCGTCGGCACGAGGAGAACTACATGAAATAGTGCTTTGACACAGCTTCGAGCCAGGCCCGGCCCATGGCAGAAGCTAGGGGTTTAGGGCATCAAATGTTATAAAGAATTTTAGGGGCATCATTTCCAAAATTGTTCAATAGGTCTAGTGGTTAAGCTTGGTTTCACTATACTAACAAGTCAGTGGGTTCAAGTCAGTGGGTTCAAACCCACTTTATGCATTCTTTTAAAACGATTTTTTTTTTTCATTTGGGCATCAATTATCTGGGTTGCTTTAGGCAGCCCATACATTCAGGCCGGCACTGGTTCGAGCAAAGGTAATGGTGCTCTGATGCTTGAGGTTGTTTGCTAGAGTTGTCGCGGATTGAGAATTGAGCTTAGACAGTACATAGCAATTAGGAATGGAAGCTAGAGCCAGGATATGTAAAAGATGGGTGAAAAACCGTAACAGAACAGGTGGATCCTCTCTCACATAAACTCCTCGTCCATGGAGATTAAGATCGAAAGCCGATAATAGATTTTCTACATGGAGAGTTGAAGAGGCAGAAAAAGAGATATGTAAAGCATTAGGCAATCATGAGAAAAATTACAGACCAATACTTGATATCATTGATAAAAGGGTAAAGATCGACTCGATAGTCCTCTTCAGTGGATTGCATATTTTTCAATCTTTATTATTTTTATAAGTATCCGACTATCCAATACGAATGAGGTGTCATTACTACTACTTTAAAGTGTGTTGATGCGTTTTTTCCAAAATATCTTAATATTCAGATATTTGTCACCAAAACTTCGGGCATCCAACAACCATTAAAAGATGTTTCAAGAATGATGAAAGTTATGATCCAGGTTTGTTTTCTAATTATTTTTCATTCTGAATATTTTTTATGTACTAATAAACTTATGTATTTTCATTTCAATGGTGGAACTTTTATGGAGTTAAAATTCCTAAACTTCAAACAATGACGAAAAAAATTATGTTTTTAACGACTAGTTCATATGGATATGAGCGTAATTCGAGTATTTTCGAAGGAGTATTTACTTCAAACTACAAGGAATATATTTTTATTTTTAATAAATTAACAAATAGTGTTGATTTGTCTCTCATTTATTAAATTTTATTAGGTGCACACCAAAAACAAAATAGACTTGATACAAAACGGTTGGAACAATTTTGTTTATGTCCAATTTAACATGAGATTGTTGGCGAAATGAAAGAAGCAGAAGGAGAAGAATGTGGACATATGCATACTAGTTGCAGGTTGTGCTGTTCATTCTCAAGATTAAATTGTTGAAGATGTTGACGTGGAACTAGGAGATGTATCCACTAATGAAGATTTGGTTAAGGAGCTTGATGAATATGATGATGGCCAAGAAGTTGATATTGTAAGTTGTAGCTCAATCTCGATCATTCTCTAAGTGTAAGTTGAAATACACAACTTATCAGTACAATTGTGGTATATAATTTCATAATTGTATATATTGGTAAAATTAGGAATAAAATTATTGAACAATAAAAAAAACTCTGGTTTTGGTATATAGAGAGAGAATGGTGAGAGTGGCGAAACAGTAGAAACGCTAAATTGTAATAATTTTACTTATTTTATTATCTTTAAATTAAAGTGGATTACATTTCATTTGATTTGGACCCGAAATTTTGAACCAGAGCATCAACAAATTCATTGCTTTCATGTTCTCAATGCATTCAGTTTTAGCCTCTTATTAGCCTAAATTATTGTCTAAATTTTAAACATCATTACAAACAATATCTTTGATAACATATAACACCACATAGGGACATAATTTTACAATTGTTTTTGACTTTTGATTTATTGATAAAGCCTCAGGCAAATTAAAAAAAAAAAAACGAAAGAAGTTCTACTTGTCTCCATATTCCTCTTTTTATTTTCTTTGCCTATCATATTACATAAAACAAAACAAAACAATACACCAAATCACCATTTCCTTTACTTCACATAAAAAAACAAACAAAAGAAAGTAAACTCTTTGTTCGGTTACGAAATTACCTTATCGTCCTTTAGGATTTACAATCTGAGAAAATATTCCACTGTTTTCTTCAGATGACAAGTCATCACCCAAGTCACTTTCTCCGGCACCGATGTTCACCGCCACTCCTCCTCCTCCGCCTAAATCAACGGAACCACCGCCATGGCTCGGTGTTCGGTGACGTGACCCATCAGCAGTTTCTTGTAACTGAAGTGCAAATTCAAGATTCCACAAAACATCTCCCATCGTTGGCCGATCTAATCCACTATCAGATAAACACTTCTCCGCCGTATCAGCAAACTTCTTCAAACACTCTGGATTAATCTTTCCTTTAAGATTAGGATCAATAATGTCTTCTAAAGTCCCTTTACGTTTACAATTCATAGCCCAATCTCCAAGACTAACTTGTTCTTTAGATAAACTAGGGTTTAAAGCTGGTCTAGCGCATAAAACCTCGAAAAGAACAACTCCAAATGAGTACACATCTGACTTCTCAGTTAACTGTTGTCTTCTGAAATATTCTGGATCCAAGTAACCGAAACTTCCTTTAACGACGGTTGTGACATGACCACCGTTCATGTTTGGTCCTGTTTTTGACAATCCAAAGTCTGAAACTTTAGCAACCCAATTCTCATCTAGTAAGATGTTAGTTGTTTTCACGTCACGATGTATGATTGTGTACTTTGCTCCAGTGTGTAGGTAATGTAATCCTCTTGCAGCTCCAATGGCGATTTCGAGTCTTCGTTTCCAAGTTAACTGAGGTCTCTTTGTGTTGTAAAGATGTTCCCTGAGTGTTCCAAGAGACATGTAATCGTATATTAGACACATTTCTCCACCTTCATCGCAGTATCCGATTAAGGAGACTAAGTGTTTGTGTCTTAATCTTGAGAGAAGTTCGATTTCCGTCTCGAATTCGTTAAGCCCTTGTTCTGAATTAGGGTTAGATTTCTTGATTGCTACTTTTGTGCCTCCATCTATAACTCCTTTGTAAACCTTACCAAACCCTCCTACTCCGATTACGTTTGACTCATCGAAGTTATGAGTTCCGTTTTTTATTTCCGACAATGAAAATCTTCGACATAAACCCGCTGCGAGATTCGATAGGTGGCTTCCGTTGTTGCTCTTACCGGAAATAGTAGATTTTGTTGCAGATGTGTGGGAGTTTCCATATATAGGAAGCCAACTCGATGTGTGAGATTCGCTGCCCGAAAATTTTCTTTTTCTTTGGTACATTGTGAAACACAATGCGCAAAGTAAAACCGTTGCTACTCCTCCAGCGGAACCAATGACGAAAGCTGTGATTCTTTTGTTACCTTGAAATTCCTTTTTAACATCTTCGTTGGCTTGCATAGGCGATGGCTTCGGGTTTGGACCGGCAAGATTCTTCATTGTGTCCATCTTGAAAATCTCTAGCCCGTTAAGCTGTGCATCATAATATTCCGGTTGACCAAATGTTGATGGCGTCATCTGAAGCGATATCTCTTCCCCTCCTCCTCCGGTGTTAGCATCAACATATATCGCGTAATCTTTGTAAGTTGGGACACCTTTCCCACCTGACCAAGCGAGTATATCTCCGGGGTTTGTATCCCCTTGCGCGGTTCTGTTGTTGATGAAAATGTTGAAAACTTTCTGGTTGATTTTAGAAAGCTGGAATTCACAGAAATGGAGCCTCATGATATAGGTGAAATTAGTGTCAACTTGAAACATCCAAGTAAGATTTGATTTCATGTTGATATCTCCGTTTGGCCCTTGTGATCGAGCTGTTTTGTAAACATCAGCTGGAGCGGTAGAAACCGGCATTTTCTGATAATCAATCCTGAAATTATTGCTTGCTTGCAAGGTAACACCAAGACCTGCGCTGAATATATAAGGCGCGTCATTGTACCAAGTTCTGGTTAATCCACCGGAGTCTTGGCTTCCAGGAATATCCTGCCCACCAACATTAAGCCTAAACATCGTCTGAAGATTCGCGGTCTTAGTATCTGATGTCTGGTCTGAGAATCCAACAAGAGAAGCTGTATCAAATAGTTCTGGCATCTGAATAACCTCAATACCATTTATGAAAGCAAAAGCTTTTGGGTGTTTATCCGAAGGAGTAAATATGATGCTCAAAACATCTTTTTCGGATGGTGCAAGAGAGTACTCTCTCACGAGGTAAGCCTGCGTCAAGGCTTGACATGTGATAGCTGCACTAAAATTGCTGAGAAGGGTAACATCGTTAGCTGCCACAGCGAAATAAGAGTCGCTAATGTTGAGTCCTGTGTATGTCGATGGATAGAAATGTAAGCGAAGCAAATGTCTTTTGTCTCCTTTAATCGGGATCTCATAAGTCGCGGGAGCTGTAAAGATTCTTGAAGTCATGTAAGGAACCGTCGAAAGAAGCGAAGGATCTTGATAAGTAGCGGGTGCATGGACCGTGTTTGGCGTTTTCAAGAATTTTGTATCGGGTTCCCATTTTTTCTTATCTTGATCAACAGCTGGTTGTGACGCTCCGCAGCTCAACGAGATATCTTGGCCATTAGATTGAGATAGAGAAACCAGAAGAACATAGAAGAAACAGAGGAAGGAAAACAAAATCCGGAGTTTCTCGTTCATGGCTGAAACATATGAAACACGTATTTTAAGTTCTTAGACATACATGAAAACGATTGATAAAAAAAAAATATGTAGACATTACCTCAAGCACCAATAGAGAAAACTGGAGGCTTGTTTCTGCAACCTAAGGATGTTTGATCAAAGCCATGGAAACAGAAGCAGAAACCCCAGCAAGACAAAAACTGCTCGTTTTTCGTGGTTGTGTCGGAAAGAGAAACAGAAAATAGTTGGAGAATCTATGGAGGAGAGGATTAAACGATGAAAGCTATGTTTAGCAATTAGTAACAAGAAATTAATATATACTTTTTGAGTTTTTATCTCGCATTATGACTTAAAACTTTTTTTTCTTTGTTTAAATTTAAATATAGAAACTTTTAAACTATGTTGTTTCAAATATCTAGTAGAATTTCTGAAATTTGACTTGATTCTTAAAATAGGAAAATCAACAAGATTTTGATAGTAGAATTCCGAAATTTGACTTGATTTTTAAAATAGGAAAATTAACAAGATTGGTCAATCTATATTCATCTAGAGTAGAATAAATCTGAAACTCGTTTTCTTTTAGGGAGCAAAGAATCTAAACAAAGAAAGGTCCCTAATTATATCGGATGAGTCTTTGTATCAAATTTAAACAATGGAGGAAAATAGCTCGACCATCCAATGCATAAATCAATGGTGAAAACTACTTTTACCAATCCTCCATTAAAGCACCTTGAGTCTCTATTTGTGAGAGTTTATGTGGTCGGGTCGGCAAAATTTTCAGGTAAAAAGGGTATACAGAAGATTTTCTGATCAACCCGACCCGTAGAAGCTTCTTTGTTGGCCGCGTAAATAGGTGTTGCACGCGGCCATCAGATGAAGAACATACATTTAGACCCTAAAGCAAAGCCAAAGCTTTGATATTCTCATAAAGAATAGAGGTCAAGAAATCATCAACGAAAAGCCCTACTTTGCACCACACGGTATATATTTCCCAACTATAAGCTTGAAACCTCTGCCTTGCATTACAAGCCACCTCTTCAAAGTGGTAAAAAATGGTGAGGAGAAGAGAAGGCCTTACCTTACCAATTTCGTCTTCAACGCCATCGCTTCCTGAATCACTACCCGATATTAAAACAGTGGCGCCACATAAACCAAAACAACGGTTATCTAAGCAATTATCAATGCGTGAGACACCGCGAGATGTTGCTTGGGAAAAAAGGCGCCGTCAGATGTTAAAGATTCAGGAGAAGAAGCAAAAAGGCGGCGTCTCTGAAAACGATAGCGATCCGCCAGATCTAACCGATGAAGATTTAAGGGAGCTTAAAGGGTCGATCGAGTTAGGTTTTGGTTTCAGTGAAGAAGCTGGACAGAAGTTGTGCAACACATTACCAGCATTAGATCTTTACTTTGCTGTGAATAGGCAGCTTTCGCCTCTCCCTTCACCTAGTAGCAGCCGTAGCAGCAATGGAGGAGATGGATCCTTGTCTTCTACTTCTGTTTCCTCAAGCAGCATACCTTGTAGCCCAAAAACCGACTCGGATTCATTAAAGATCCTATGCCCAGGTAAAACAAAAGTTCCAAGTTTATCTTCTTATATATAAATGCTGATTTGAATTCTTATGATCAACCAACCATTGTGAATGCGAGTTGTGCAGGGGACAATCCTCAACAGGTGAAGCAAAGATTACGACATTGGGCACAAGCTGTTGCATGTTCTTTGATGCAATCTCAGTGATGAGTGTATATGTTGTGACTTTAAGTTTCAACTTGAAACACTTATTTTTTTTACTTTTGTGGGTGAAATAGGACAGAGAAAGAATCTTACTACGTAGGATCTCTCTGAACAAAAAAGAGATAGAAAAGTTTTGGGAGAAACAAAATAGGGAGAGTAAGAGATCACGGTACTCTCTACATACTTGTGCAAAGGGAACAAGATGAAAAGATGTAGCCCTTTCTTATTCATGTACTACTTATTAACATATCTAATATATGGTCGTGGATTCGATGGTTATTTTGAGGTATATTTTCCATATTTACAATCTTACAAGTAAGAACCTTACAAGACTCATGCCATGCACGACTTTATGATTCGACTTCATTGGGTTGGGTTCAAATACCAATAGGAAAGAAAAGAGTAACAGAAGATTGGTTTTTGTTTTTCATGTTGCTTGTTAAGACCAAAACTCAAAACTATAGCGTTTAGAAACAACGAAGCAGAAGAAGAAAAAAACAACAAAGCAGAAGAACTAGCTCTCACCATATACGTCTCCTTTCATCATACGATGAGCATGGAGTTATCAAATTCACGGATGGGTCTTCCCAAATTCGAAATGGCTCTAAAAATATTACACAATTCAAGAGAAATCTATCTCCCCTTCAATTAGCTTAAAGACGTGCTTAGTGTAATTCACATGTAGGGTTTTGATAAGATTGTATTTTCGCCCGTTTTAGCTAAAGTTTTTTAGTGTTTTTAACAAGAGTTTGGTATGATTTCAAGGTTAAAAAGGTGATTTCCAAGTATTTTTTAGTGTCAAGAAGCTTTTAAAGTTTGAAGGCAAAATGGATCAAAAGAGGACAAAACTCCCTTTCAGGACAATTTCGGAGCTTCCCAAGTTTGACATCCGTTGAAAGTATTCCCGTGCTCCAATTCAAGAGATCTTGGAGGCTGTGGAAAGCTAGAAGATTCACTATCTGCGGCTAAGTAGAATCAGACACATACAACCAACGGTTGATTTGTAGTGCCTGTTTGAATGAAGCCCTATCCGAGACCGGTCACAAGGCGTGTGACTAGTTTGTTCCCTTTTCCAGAGGCCGGTCATAGACCCTATATCCGGTGTGAAGCTCCTCGTCCATGCACTTACTCAAAACGACGTGTTTTGACCTAATTATCTCTAAACCGACTTCTTGGACCACGAGACCTATAAATACCCATTCCAAAATCGTAAGAGCCGTGTGATTATAATTAAATGTGTCTTCATAGAGAACCCATTGACAACCAGAGAAAATGTAGCCACCCTCTTGCTCGTCGAAGCTCTTGAAGATCACCAAATCTCTTCGTTTCTCGTCTTTGTTGCTTTGATTTATAAGAGAGAAGTCTAACCTCTTTGCATTCAATTCTAAGTAGTAATATCTATACCGTATTCAATTCTTAAAAAGTTTTATGCCTATGAGTTTATCAAATCTTGCTTTGATGATTCTTTAAACATGCTTAAGTAGTTTACTTGTTGGGATTAAAGGAAAATCAAAGGGGAACATGATCGATTGTTAGGTGGCGTTTTTCTAGTTTTTTTTTTATTGTTTACACTACTCTTTTCGTTCAAAGTTTTCTCCAAATGCATGTTTTTAGCATCATGAACTAAATCTGATCTCAGGTAATTAGGTTTCGATATCCGTTTTTTTATTTACAAGAACCTAGATTAGATGAGTATCATGTTTTATATAACAAGCACACACCACTTAGTTATAGGGATTTATGGACAATAATCGAATTTGTTTTTTTTTGTTTTTGATAACTCAGGTGATTTTAAAATTTTTTTAGACCCAAAGACTAATCTTGGAGTCAAGGAAACCATATTAGAACTTGATCTTGTTGCTTTGATATATGCGTCGTTTCATGCGAATTGTTGAGTAACAAAGTATAAAAATTTTTGATGGTTAATTCTATAACATAGGGTTAATTGATCATTCGTGTTTTGTAGTCCGAGACTTGGAAGTAAACAAACATTCACCTATAATTCCCTAGATAGAAAGATCATTGAATCCCTTGTCGATCCTTTGAATGTCCAATGCTTTTCTCTTATTGATTTACACATGCGTTTACTTGCTTTTATTTACGTTATTTCAAGTAATTTAAGGATGAGTGATATTCCCAGAAGTGATTGTCGGAACTGTATGAGTGAAGACAAAATACATGAAAAGATCATGTGGTGATTTGTAAGGTCGGTAAACAAGTCTTTAAAGCCTCCTGAACGTGGCAAACCGGCGATCGGCTAGGGTCCACTAAGGGTTTTTAATAAAATAATAGATACTATTATAATTTATAACACATAATAAAATAATATGAATAAAAGTACTTTAAAATAATATTTTATGTTTACTAATAAACACAGAATAAAATAGAATAAGCAATAAATTTGAGTTTTTGAAAGAAAAATAAATTCTAATGTTTATTCTAATCGCTATCACCTATCTCCTCCTATAAACAATAATCTGTTACAATCGAATTCAACATCATCACTTAAATTTCATGATGAGACTATATATTTTTACCTCAAATGCAAACCAATTTTAAAGTTGGAAGACACATATTTGAGCTTGGTAAGGTTTTGGCTTTTTAGTTTTCTATTTATTATAAAAACTAAAACCACATAAAACTGTTCAGTTTTTTAGTTTATATTTGGTTTGGATTGATTATTAAAAAATATAATATATAACTTGGCAATTTCTTAAACGTGATATTGTTTTGAACAACCACCACGTTGTTTATGTCTAAAAAAATACACTCATAGTTTTTAACAAGCAAAAACGTAAAGTATCGATCATATGACATAGACACAGGGGTTATTTCATTAACAGATCTATACTTAATGTGTTTTTCATTAATAATTTAGTTGATGAATTTAAAATAGACCACTCGATACTTGAGGAGTTTTTAATCAAAATTCCTTACTTAAAGCATTTCTATTAATAATTTAACTGAGTGATTTAAAATATATTGCCGATAACTGATAGATTTTGCTTATTAAAATTTCATTTCTATTACTTGATTATTAATTTTAAATATACTGAAAATAGAAAATTTAAACAACACTTGTGGTATTAATGGATGGGTGGGTACTAGGGATCGATGATGAGTGTGAAGTTAAGTGGTATGGAGCACAGGTTTCCCCAAAAGTGGTGTCCAGCTTGGAAGCAGAGGCTACAACAATAATATGGACCATGTCTTGTACTTAACCTAAGATTTGAAGATGTCTATTTTGACAGCGTTAAAAGCAACTAATGGAAGTTATAGATGATTCAAAAGAGTGGCCGAGACTAAAGACCTATACAAAGGAGACTAAAGAGAAAGAACATCGAACTTTAGACCACATTTGCTCCTTTAAAAGCCATGAGACAAACCAATGTGATGATTCTGTAGCTAAGTTTGTTTGTAGTTTTTCTTCTTATTATGCTTTTCTTTGAGAATAGTACTCTTATCTCGTTAAGGTTAAGGACACTTTAGAGATGGATTTTCACTCTTGCAATCGTGTTAATGCAATTTCAATAGCAAATTTGAATTGAAAGAAAAATCGAAAATTATTTCGGGCTGCTTTTGTTTGGATACATTAAATTTGGTTTCAATTCGAGGTTTTTTTAATTTTTGGTTTTTCTATAAATGAAATTAATAAGTTTATAAACAAAGTTTCGGTTAAACATCAATACAATAATAACAATAAGGATCTCTCCAAGTCTGATACCTCAGCTTTTTGGGATGTTCTCAGGTTGACACGTCATTAAAATCGTCGTCCAATGAAAACATTTTAAATAATACAACTCAACATTTTCATCCAGTAAGAATCCTTCTCTGTTCCACATCATTTTTCTTATTTCATTATTTTGGGCTTTTCTTATTCAGAAGTGGGCTTATTCTCATTCTGAAGTGAGCTTTATTGTATTTTTTATTTCAGTCGTCCTCTCACGGTCTCACCTACATCTTCATTTTTTTTTCTCGATTTAGAATTCTTCACAAGATCACGAAGACGAAGGGTGATCCGATCAATCCTTAGGTCCAGTTCATCTAAGTCCATAAATTTCCAAAATTCATCGAGTGTTTAAGTTTTGGTGAGTTTGTTTTTCATGTCAATTCGATAAAAGCTCCAATCTGTCGCCACTTTTGATTGCTCTGTAATAGCCTCTGTAAGAATCTTTGGAATACATAATAATTGTATCTTCCACCTTCTGTTTAACTAAATACATAATAATTGGTCGGTAGGCTAGAAACATCAATGGAGCTAAATAGCAACGTGTGAAATTCCATTGCATGTAGGCCATTGAATTTAAGGTCATTGTACACTACTCTGTAATTGAAGGCTAAAAATGTATGAATTGACCCATGCTTTGTGATTGTTGTTTAGTAATTCTAAATTTTAAGGAAACAATCTCAAGCAATGCACCAAACCTCTTGTAATCATGGAGTGTTTGTGATTTTCTTGTTGATTTTGATTAACATCATTGTTTTGGTCCTTTTGGATTGGTGCAGTTGAATTGTACTGTGATAATCTTTTTTAGAACACTGAGTTTGATTGATGGTGAAAATGTTTGTAGGTGGTGAGTAAGATGTTTGGAGGATCATTGTTTCAATGTACAGACGAATAATAAAAGTGTTTTCCTTCACCTGAATCACTTAAGATTAAGATCTTAATCTCAACAAAGCCACCAAAAGAGTATCTTCAGACCCAAATCTCTCAAGGTTCGACAACGGATGAATCCATTAAAGCTAAAGTAAGAAAGAAAAAACAGAGTTAAAGTAACCATTAGTGTGTCTTGATTTTTTTTAAGAGTATTGTGTTGTGACGATGCAGAAGAAAATGTTCAAGAAAAAGATGTGGAGAGTGCAGCGATCGAATACAGAGACTTCATCTCGATTCACGCTGGGAACCACAAAGGAGGGTTGAAGAACTGCTTGAATGGAGATCCTAACCGAGACATACGGTTAAGCATGAGTGAGCAGTGGCTTGAGGCTTTGGCTAAAACTCGTGGACCTGATTTAGTAAAGTTCACGCAGTGGAATCTTTTGAGGATATATCCCAAGACAACACGGTTTGACTCGTATAACTATGATCCTCTCGTTGGATCGATTTATGGTGCTCAAATGGTTGCCTTCAATATGCAAGTAATAATTTGAAGTTTTAACACTATCCTCTCTATCATAAGCAGAAATTTTCAATAGTTATGAAGCATTGAGTTAAGTTCATTATTGGACACGACATAACTAAAATAATCTTGTCTCTCTTTGGAGTTCTAGGCTGAGAAAATGTTGTGATTTTTTGTTGAACTTGAAGATAGAATAATGTACTTTGTACCATGGAGAATGTTTTGCAATTCTTAATTTCAAGGAAACAATTTCAAGCACTGCACCAAAACTCTTGTCATTGTTTTATTAATTGGAAGTATACTCCTTTTGACATTTGAGACATAGTTTAACTTAGAATGAGTTCAATCTTTTTCTCTCTGCAAAGAAAGCTAAAATTCCGCTATGTGAATTTTGTTGAAGTTCAAGATATGAAAAGATAATGGAAGTTTAATACAAAGTCCACTTGTGCTGTAACCTGTAAGCAGTGTTTAGTGATTTTGAATTCTAAGGAATTGATTCAAGTATGATGTATCACAAAATGTATGTTTAAAAAAAAATATATGTCTACATAAGAAAACAAAATTAACTTAAAACATAATGTATTTAGTTTTTTGGATCTTTTCAAAGTACGTCGTTGAGAAAGATCTTTGGTGAGATGAAGGAGAAAGAGAGAAACACTATATGTTTGGAGTGGGTCCGAGTCAGAATAAACCGACCCATTAGAAGTGTATAAACGTTAATAGCAAGTTTAGGAGCATAGAGAAAAAAACAAAGCTGAGTGAGAGTTTGTAAATGATGTCTAATAAGATGAATTTATATCTTCTGCATCTTTTCAACCTTTTATATATATATTTTTACTGGTTAAATTCAAGTTTGGATACTTTTTTTTTTGTTACCGAAGAAACAACAACTTTCATTGAGTAAAAAAAAAATAAGTTTCATAGTGTTGCTGCAAAAATTTAATTTGAGAAAAAGTCATTAGTAATAAAAATAATTTACAAACAATATCCCGCGGCATAGCGCGGATTTTATACCTAGTTTCAATTTAATATTTCTACAGTTTTTTTTCGGGATTTTTGTTCATCTCTAGAAATAGCAATATTTATGTATGTATGTGTAGATAGATATATCAATGCTAAGAAAAAATTTATAGGTAAATAAAAACGAATACCAAATTGTAAACTCCATATCACCCATTGGACTGGACTTTTATCAGCTTGCGCTATGAAGCCCATACACATATGTTCCATACTTCTTAAGTCTCAACCTCTAAAAGTGTAAAAATATAAAAATCATTTTGGTCAGAATTGTTATATCATTATCGGACTAAAATAACTCAAAAGTCAGATTGTAGTGGCTTAGGAATTTGTCATTTGTCATTTGTCATATAGCACGGAAGTCAAATCATAATAAGAGTGGCTTCGACTAAATTAAATTTTTTTTTTTTTTTGTCATCGACTAAATTAAATTATATAACACATTTCAATGGACCCTTCACACATTTATCCTTTTTTCACATCATACTTATATATTATAAAAAGTTTAACAAATATTTTGTTCAAAAAAAAAAAAAAAATGTTTAACAAATACATTTACTTGAACTTCCAAATTGCCGACAAAAAAAAAAAAGACTACCAATTAGAGTTTGCCAACAGATCAAAAGGAGGCAATAAACATATAGTAGCTTATTTGTACATTAATATATTTTTTATATAATTTCTGCATTTATGCGGGTGACACATAACACACATACAATAACATTTTTGTGTGGCTGGTGAATTCATAGTTTGTTAGGCAATAAAGACAATCTTTTAAAAAAAATTTCGTTTTTTAAGTAACTATTAAGAATGTTTTGCCTAACAAACTAATTTTTCGAAAACTCTAAAAACAAAATTACAAACCGGATATTAGAATATATTATATACATATAATTGCTCAATAATTTTGTGTTGGGAATCATATTCACATTCTATAGTGGATGTGGAACCGAAGGTCACTACCAAAGTGGACGATGACACTAAAATTATATTTTATGCCAAAAAATTATTTATTTGATTTGCAATCATCCTATTCCTAGGTACCATTATAGTACATAAGTTTATTTTTGGGGTGCTATGTAACATTTTCTTCTTTAAGAAATAAATAAATATCAAATTGCGGTAGCTTGTTGATCGTTTTTTATCACCATCAAAGTCATTTCGGATTCTCATCCACAACACTATAAATAGTAGCTCAATATTCACGACCGATAGATAAAAACTAAAACTATATATTTTATTTTCGAACGATAGTTTTACTTTTTGCTCCTAAAAAGGTTTTGGTTCAATAGACAAGCACAAGGTTTTTTTTTTTCGTCAAATAAGCACAAGTTTTTTCCAATTGTTTCAAGTGTTTTATCTTTAGCTGCAGATATAATATACTAAAAGTTTATTTTCCATAGGTATTTTAATTTAACGTTTTAAGGCTTGAACATGTTAAATTATGGAATCAAAAAGGTTTTCAAAAATGTGAATTTAGGGACGTGCGAAATGAATTGTAATAAGGTTTCTCAAATGCATAACCAAATTATTAAATCTATGGATTGTAATTTTGGACGAGACATTTAGTGGTTTATGACTCTTTTCTCTCTCAATCAGGATAGCTATAAATAATTTTCTTTAGTCAGAAAATAAGTTCCGATTTTAGGTTTAAAAACGTTATTTATAGTCGTTTGTATTCGGTAAGAGCGACCAACATTACATAAATGTTGGTCGCCGAACTCTTTCTCGTGTTGTTGTTGTATTCTATATTTCTCTCTATGACACTCTTGATTTATGGAGTTTAATTTTTGAGGTTTTTAGTTGTCTTTTGTTTTTTGTTTTATTTGGCCATTATCTTAAAAATTTGTTAACGTTTCATTTTATTTCAATTTAAATAATTTATTTCTGATTTCAGTGTGTTTTACCTAGAGTTTTGCATGACATGAATTTCTTTTTGTTGGTCCAAAATTTTACTGAAAAAAGAAAGATAAGGGTGACTAGAATTAAAAAAAAAAAATCTAATAGAGGTAAAGATTAACTGAACTGTTTAAAAGATCTATCTTCGATAAGAAGTTATTTCTAAGATTACTATATATCTTCTTAAGAAAAAGTCTAACAGTGTTCTACCATGGTACAATTAGTGGTTGTTTGTCCAAGGCTGTTTTTAAGAAAAATATCTTCAAAAATATATCAGCCAAAATAAAACTAATTCTTGAAAGAAAAAATATAACCATGGTGCTAATTATTAAGGATCTCTACGATAATCTCAAGTGTTTTTCGATAGTGAAATTCTTTTCTGTTATGATGTAGAATCTATGACTAATCTACATATGTATTTCTATGTTTTTGGTATTTAGAAAAGTCTAAAAGTCTGTACTATAAAGTTTAGGTGTTTTGATCCCACCCTTCAATTTTTTTTTTTTGTAATTATGATGTACTAGGTTATGAACCCCCGCGACATCGCGGGGGAACTTATTTTCAACAAATATATTTTATTGTGTTATGTATTAAATTATTATGATAATATATTTGAATTATTACATAAAATTAACTATGTTTTAAAGTTATATCGTAAATATTTTCCAAAGATGTTAAAACTGAATAAAAATGTAAAAAAGAAGAATTATGATTAAAACACTTTTGAAACATTTGTTATGAATATAAAATTATTTATAAGTGACAAAATACATAACGAAAAGTTATAATATAAAGATCAAAAATTATAGCGGGTCAAAACCAAAAAGACATAAAAACACAACCGGAAAAATAACCGTCAACGAAAAATGTGACCGTCAATATTTTAACGAAAAGTTGCGATAAAAAGACATAACCGAGAAAAAATAACCGTCAATATTTTAACGGAAAGTTGCAACAAAAAGACACAACCGAGAAAAAATAACCGTTAATATTTTAACGGAAAGTTGCGATAAAAATACACAACCAAAAAAGTAAATGTCATAATTTTAACGGAAAGTTACGATAAAAAGAGACATCTGAAAAAATAACCGTCAACGAAAAATATAACCGTAAATATTTTAACGAAGAATTGCGATAAAAAGACACAACCGAGAAAAAAACCCGTCAATATTTTAACGGAAAGTTGTGATAAAAAGACACAAACGAAAAAAATAACAGTCAATATTTTAATGGAAAGTTACGATAAAAAGACACAACCAAAAAAATAATCGTCAACGAAAAATGTAACCGTAAATATTTTAACGAATAGTTGCGATAAAAAGAAACAATCGACAAAAAATAACCGTCAATATTTTAACGGAAAGTTGCGATAAAAAGACCCAAATGAAAAAAGTAACCGTCAATATATTAACGGAAAGTTGCGATTGAAAGACACAACCGAGAAAAAATAACCGTCGATATTTTAACAGAAAGTTGCGATAAAACACACAAACAAAAAAATAACCGTCAATATTTTAACGGAAAGTTACGATAAAAAGATACAACCGAAAAAATAACTGTCGACGAAAAAAGTAACCACCAATATTTTAATGAAGAGTTGCGATAAAAAGATACAACCGAGAAAAAATAACTGTCAATATTTTAACAGAAAGTTGCGATAAAAAGACACAACCGAGAAAAAATAACCGTCAATATTTTAACAGAAAGTTGCAAAAAAAAGATACAACCGAGAAAAAATTACCGTCAATATTTTAACGAAAAGTTGCGATAGAAAGACAAAAACGAAAAAAGTAACCGTCAATATTTTAACGGAAAGTTGCGAGAAAAAGATACAACCGAAAAAATAACCGTCAATATTTTAATGGAAAGTTGCGATAAAACGACAAAACCAAGAAAAAATAACCGTCAATATTTTAATGGAAAGTTGTAATAAAAAGACACAAACAAAAAAAAGTAACCGCCAATATTTTATCGGAAAGTTGCAATAAAAATAAATAACCGAAAATTAACCGTAAATATTTTAACGGATAGTTACGATAAAAATATACAACCGTTCAGAAGTGCAAAATGCATTTATTGAAATTGTTATTTTGGTTAATAAAACCAATTTTATATGTAGTCTAATAGTTTATGTAAAAAAATTCGTAGTATTACTAACTAAACAAAATATGCAATGAAAAATATATAATGGAAAGACGTAACTTTAATTGAATAAATACAACTATAAAGATATAACCGTAAACTGTAAAGATACGATTGTAATTGAACAAACATAACCATAAATAATTCAACGAAA